GGGGGGAGTATAGACACTTGGACTAGGAGTGCTTGAAGCGATGCTTCAGGATTTACAAAAAAATAATGATAACTCGCACGTATGCATGCACCAACGCACGTACACACACACGCACGCACACCCACACACACCCACACACTCACACATACACACGCACACAAAGACACACAGAGGGCATATAGGCCAAGGAATTTATGGACACCCCGAGAAAATTTTTAAGTCAGCTTTGGCAGTCACCTTGGTGATTTGCTGTTGATCCCGATTTTTTCTCCCTGAGATCCTTTTTTTGAGGTTTCATAGAGTGGCAGGTCTGTGTATAGCAATGACCATGAAAAATCTTTTTTTGTCAGAAAGTGTTTGCAAATGGGAGCATTTTGTAGCTGTATCTTCACAAAACATGGAACTTTTTCGAATTTTTGAAATCCATCAATAAACAAAAAAGTTATGAATTTTTTAATCAATTAATTTTTGGTACACTTTTATGTAATGAAAACCCCCCAAAATATGGGAAGTTCTTTGGTGAGTTTTGAGACAATATTCGTCATAACTTAATCATTTCTCAGAGTATGTAAATGAAACTTGGCAACCCAGTACATTTTCTATTGCAGAATCTAGACCTGCTTTCAGATTTTACATAGCTATCCTACTTTTTGAGTTATGAAGACGTTTTTAGGAAAAATGTGGTGGTTTTCGGTGCGTTTTGAGACAATATTTGTCATAGCTCGCCTATTTCTTGGAGTATGTAAATGAAACTTGGCAGTCCAGTACAGTTCTTAATGCAGAATCTAGCCATGCTGTCAGATTTTTAATATATAAATGTATAATGCTAAGGAAGTGGCTATTCTCACCCGGGGTGAGAATAAAAATACGATCTACCTCTCAACCCGGGTGAGTCTTGCCAGCGTCGGCTATTCTCACCCGCTGTGAAACAAGACCTGTTTTTCCTCATTTTGGAATGGAAGTGGCTATTCTCACCCGGGGTGAGAATAAAAATACGATCTACCTCTCACCCCGGATGAGACTTGTCAGCGTAGGCTATTCTCACCCGGTGTGAAACAAGACCTGTTTTTCCTCATTTTGGAATACTGTCTATCAGTGTGGATGATCAAATTCATAAAAGCCAAGAAAAAATTACGTTATAGCACAAAAGTAAGCTGATTTGATCATCTTCAAAGATGCTATGGCTATTTCACTTTTCGAATCGAGCCGAACTATGCGGGTCGCCATTATGTTTTGCCCGGAAGTTCTCGCAAGATCTACTCCTCCCCTCTCTCTCTCTCTCTGTCTCTTTCTGAATACTGTTTATCGGTGTGGACGATGAAATTGACCAAAACAAAGTTAAAAAATGATGTTAAAAAAGAAAACTAAATTAATTTGGTTGTCTACAAAGATGCTACGGCTATTTAACTTTCCGAATCGAGCCGAACTACGCGGGTCGCCATTTTGTTTTGCCCAGAAGTTCTCGCGCTCTTCCTCTCTCTCTCTTTCTCTCTCTCCACTGCCCACAGACAAAATTGCATGCTTTTAGGCTAACACTAGATCTAACAGTACTAATAGATCTAGAACGTTTGTTCACAGCACAGAATTCTATAATTCTGTTATCACAGTGTAGAATTCTGTGATTCAGGGTGAACGCTTCACTGGTTGGCCTAGGCTATAACGGTGAACGCCCACCGGGTGAGAATAGCCAAAAGACTCGCCTGCGCTATTTTCACCCGGGGTGAGAATAGAGGTGGCCTAACCTAATAATGCTAAAGATAGTGTTGTTTTCAGACTCGAAGTGACTATTTGGACTCGAGTCTGAATATGAAAAAATGTTCTTCGGACTCTGATTCTTGTCCAGCATGACATCACTTCCGACTTCCTGTGACTCGTGACTCCGGCTTCCTGTCCTGCCTCACTCGTGACTCGCCTCAGGCTGGGTAGAGACCGGGATCACTTCGAACAAAATGGCGTTAAATTGTGCTGGAGCCGAGTTTTTATCTTATGATGAATTTGAGGCCGGCCTGAAAAGTTAAAGCTCTTCTAATAAAATGTTTATTTGTCAAGAGGTCATCAGAAGCAATTAAAGATGGTTCGTTAGCGTGTGTCGGGGTTGGATAGGCGGCCTGCACGCGTGTGGCTAGTGTGCGTGTCGGGGAAGGGGGGGGGGGGGGGGGGGCACTATCAATCAGGGCGTTGAACGTCA